GGATTACTTGTCTTATTTTACAAGTACACTAGTGATACTACTACTACCTTTCATCTCTTTTAAATATAGCACAGCCTATCATACTAGATGTACTTCCACAGGGTCCCCGAAAGTGTTTTGTTACAAGAGTAAATAAAACCAAAATGAAGAGTAACAAACATTTTTATTTCTTGCTTTTCAAGTTCATATGACATGCTGTGTTGTAGCCTACAGAGTGCATACTTCTCTGATTCATGGCACATTCACTTACATCACTTATGTGACGTCATTTTAATAGGTACTGACTGACAACACACTACTCAATAGTGGTGCGAGTGGTTAAAACAGGTGACCCCTCCAAGCGGCCTTTGCCACCCTTTCGGGGAAATGATCTTATGAAACGTCATATATTCTTTATACAAATCTTATCACGTGGTCTAATTACCCGTTACCTTGTCTCAACATAGTACAAAACTCATCATGCGATGTGATTGAATTTCTAAATAAAGTATACCAGTTCTTCGTGTGATACGATTACCGTCCTCTTTCTTTTTAACACAAAAACATATCACGTCTCCTGATTAACTGTCTTGTCATCTAAATGCAAAAATTCATCATGTAATTTGATTAGTGTTTGCTTGTTTGTTGTTAAACAGAAAGCTACATAATGGGTTATATTTGCTGTGCCTACCAGTGGTATCGAAACTCGCTTTTTTTGGCGTTATAAACCTCCATACTTGCTGCTGAGCCACTAGGGGAAGCTGATTAGTATCGTCTTGTCTCATTACAAAGTAAGAGATTATCAAATGGTCTAATTATCTGTTATTTTTGTTAAGTATAAAAAACAAGAATGTATCACCTGATTGAGTTACTTATCTGTAAGTAGAGCAGAAAAACTTTCATTTGAAGGCAGTGAATACCATTAATGTATGAATGAAAATTTTAAGGATGCCTTTAACACTACTGAAAGGTTAGTTTGTTCAATATCATAGCATTAGAGACGAAAATCGTTCAGCTACTTACCTACACAGATAACTATGTATACCTAGATATGTATTTTTAGTATAACTTTTGCAAACCCAAACGTGTATTTTTATTATTTTAGTAGATTTCTTATGAATTGTTAACGCTTTTAACGGACCTTCCTGAAATTCCCCAACCGACAGATGGAACTGCGTTGTTTTTTAATAGATGAAGATGTCTGATTAACCCACTGGCACTATGATGAAAGATAAATTTTCTGTGTTTCTTTAAGTAAAAGTATTTCCATGAACATCTGCAAATGACTTACGCTGTACTCCAATGAGTGTCGCCACCTAAGAGGTAGCTTAAAAGTTGTTACCGTTAGCTCTGTCAGCCTCGATTTGCCTCCTCTAAGTGACTCAAGTTATTTACTAATGACTTTGTGTGTTCCAAGGTTATTAGTGTCATCACCAGCTCTATAAGCTACCCCATTAACCTCTTAGTTCTCTTGTGAAACTGGCTCAACCATTTCGAGATGAGCGTGATGTTTGAAGGTGTTTTTTATGTCATTGCCAGCTGCGTAAGAGAACCTATACACTTCCAAGCTGTCTCTTCTATTTGACTCAAACCATATAGTTTTGGCTGTAGCGGTTTGCCGATAAGGTGAAAACGTTTATATAAAGAGCGGCTGGAAGATCTCGTATACCTCTTTTTCTTTAATATCCTCTCTCTATATATAAACTTGTTCCAACTTTAATTTTAGATTATTTAATAAGTTTCTATACCTTTTTAGCTGTATTTTAAGGAACGATGTTTGTCTCTAAAAACCTTGATACTTTATCCAAACTACCTCATTTTAATCGAATAAAGTTGTCCGATTACTAACTAGCAAGTAAAATTAAATTCAAACTAAGTCAAATTTGATGCCTAACATCGTTTCAGATTCCAAGTTTAAGAAATAAATACTATATGGGAAAGTTGTTTACCTTTTTGAAAATTTTTAAAAGTATGTCTCATTTTTTTCAGGCTTTGTTCGTTAAAATTCATCGAGTTACATACGAAACATAAATTGAGTA